CCAGATTTTGACAGCACCAAGTGGATTAACCTTGTGGCAAATTTTACAGGTCAGGTATCCCTTGGGAAACTTTTTAGCAGTGGAGTCCGGGTGGCGCATGGCATCCGGCGGAAGGACCTCAGTAACTAAGTGCCCTGCAGCTTGCGCCGCCTGAAAAGTGGTGGCAAACGGACCGCTAAGCCACTTGGCTGGCCCTTTACCGTTGACTCTTTTTTTGGTTTGGAAGTTTGCATTTGCAAACTCGGCTTCAGTCATACCAAGTCCGTTTCTGATGGCACCTTGGTTCGCAGGGTGTCGCAAAGCCATGTTTCGGATCCAACCCAGCAATTGAGTCGGGATAGGTTGAGTTTCATCAGTGCATGCGGTGGTTTTGAATCTACATGGTGTCCCTTTTCGTCTGCATTTGGCACAAACAAGCACGGACGTCAAATCAAGTTTGCGTCTCTCTTCTTTGGGGTTATGTTTGAGAAGAATTTGGCGAACATCATGCCCCGTTTGCGGAGCCCAAACTTTCAGGTTGTCAGCGACCTTCTGTTGTTTGAGCTGACCTATATGTCTGCCTCGCAGTTTCATACGAGCTCGAAGGCCTTTGTCAGTTCTTTGTTTCTTCCTGTACGCCTGAGTTGGATTTGTGTCAGGGTGTGCCTCGGCAAAATGTTTGCGGACACTAGCTTCGTGCCAAACTTTTGGCAACAGTGGGAGTCCTTTCCCGCATTCTGGGCAACTCCAGGCTCTGCCACTTTCAGGAAGTTCCGAGGTCGGGACTGTGATCTGAGTTTGAGCACCGAGTCGCGGGCATTCAGCTCTTTCGGAATCTGTATGTCTATTTTTCAGGTGTGAACTTTTTGCAGCTTGAAGCTTGGCTCTCGCTTGCAAACCTGCAGGAATTCTGATTTCATGCCGGCAGTCAGGCAGCGGACAAACCCATACCTGAGGTCCTTGCGGTTTGGCAAGCGTCTTAGCATCCAGCCGCTTGAGGTGTCGAGGATATGGAGCAGTGTCAGGGCGAAAGTCGCATTCTGTGTTGTCATTTTTGACTGCGCCTTTGTCCTTAGTACCCGACCGGTCCTTGGTCAGGTTGTCTGTCAAATTGAGGTGAGTTTCTGAGGTTAAAGATAAAACCGAAGCTTTATCGTTCTCAGAGGGTGCAAGAAACTTCATGTCTTCAATCCTTGAGTCACAACTGCTTTGCTTGAACCTGCATCTTTTGAATGGTCTTGCAACCGTTTCACTCGGATGCTGCAACTGCTGGGATTTGATGGCAGCACGCGGAGGTTCGCAGGAGTGAGGGGAGGCAGCCAAGGTAAGAAGAGAGGGGGAGCGCGGAGGATGGGGTCGCGCAAGGGCACCCGAAGACCCACCACCCGCCGCATGGCCGTGCACAACCGCGCGCAGACGCGGAGGAGAAGACGCGGAAGGAACCAAGGAGTGCAGGGACGGCGCGCGCGTGATCATCACACCCCCACCCGAGGATCCGCGAAAGGAGGAGGCGGGGAGAGTATGGAGCGAAGGAGCATGGGAAGAGCCAGGGGAGAGCGTGTGCAGGGTTTTAGGCGATTCTCCAACGCTTGGTCCAGCGCCTCCAAGTGCTTCGGCCTCGGGTTTGGCTGTCTCTCGCGCCCAGTGTTTGGGCACCTTAGTCATGCCGTCCTGATCCTGGGGTGGTCGGACGGATTGATAATGTTTGTCGTTTCTGTACACCACCAGGATTGGTGCTTCTTTTTTCATTCTGGGCATCCCCTGTGGACTCCACTCAGGAGCGAAAGTGAATCTTTCCAGAACTTCATCTTTTTGATTCCACACCACTATGCAGCATGATTTCACCTCTGCTGCTGCTTGCAGCAGCAGTCCACATATCCAGTGAGTTTGCTTCAACGCATTGTCACAAAAGGCAGGAAAGGCCTCTTTCCCACCTCTGACATGGTTTTCGTACCTATCTTGATGTTTGCGAACATGTCGTACCACTTCCGTACGAAATAGATTGGCATTTTTGATGCATTCTTCTTTGGAAAGAGTCTCACCAGTGGTTTGATAATGAAAGTTGTCTATTAATGCCCGGTACCCACAGTCACCGCATCCACCTTGATCGGCCAGCGTCCAGTTTTGGGTTAAGGCATCCGTCAAATTACCAAGAGACTGCGAGGTTGGCTTTGAACTCTGCTTGTCAATCGCTTCAGGCTGAGTCTGAGAGTCCAACTGCGTTTTTTCGACTTCCATTGGGTCCTTATTTTCATCGCCCTTTTCGGGCTTCTCAGCGGCAGATCTGGACCGATGTCGCTCATCGGGTTCTTTGGCCTGCCTCTTCGCGGGGCGCCCCCGCGTGTTGGCCGTCTGTGGAGGCTGATCCTTAATTTCATCCCATGTCTTCCTTGGTCCTCTGACTGCAGTGGTGCTGTTTGGCGCTGCAGGTTTATGGACCGAGTCGTTGACTATTATGGTAAACACAGTGGCACCTTCATACACCCAAAGACCCTGGTCGTATGGGTATGCAACAGGAGGCATTCCACAGGCGTTCCAAAAAATTTTCTTGTTGACCCTTCTTCTATTGTGAATAGTCATTTGGGTCCATCCTTGTTGTTTGAGGAAATCAACCAGTTCTTCCGCCATCCAGTCCCTGGGAACTCCAGAAATCTGAATTCGTTTGGGTTTCTTTTCGATGTCTTCATCTGATTTCTTTGTGAAACCAATGTCATTTCCCAACCCTTTCCGTAAGCACATCGGCTGGCCTCTCTCGCCTGAAAGACGAAGGCATCTCTGGTAGTATGCTTCATCGGTTTCATCTTTTTCGTGTTTGGTCCACACAAAATGCGGACGTTCCTTAGAGGTATCAATATTCTTATTGATAAAAATACCTTTTTTCCCTGATTTTTCCAGGAGGGTTTCCGCATCTTTTTTGGTGAGCTTAAGCCATCCTACCAAACTTGAACTTTGTTTCTGCCATTCCTGTCTTTCCCACCTGCCACCTGTGAGGACATGTGCACGACATCCAAAAGTGGCCAAGTCGGAAATGACATCAACGACACGTTCCTTTTGGGGTTCAGATACAAAGAGTTCTCTATAGTGAGAGGGAACGACAATTCTGACCAATTCCCTTTCAACCGTAGTAACATTGTTGGGATCAACTTTAACAGGGTGAGTTCTCCAAGGGTAGTCAGAGCCTAAACCGAGCAAGGCAATGTCTTCGACCTTGGCATGTTGGTTTGTCCTTTGAAGCCTGGTCCTGCTCAGTGTGATGCCAAGCTGATTCATTGCATCAGCTGACAAAACCAAAGTGAGTCCTTTCGTGAAACCAAAGCTTGTGTACAAGTCACGAAGTTCTTGGGTGACCTGTCTGTCATGACTGCAGCAAATATTTCCATCCCAGTCTTTTCCTTCCTTAATGGCCTGGCAAACTGTTTGCGCATCCACAAGTTTGATTGGCTTGTTCCATTCAACTGGGTTGAGAGCTCGCACCTTGGCAAGGTTTGGAGTATTCTGTTGAGGTTTGTGAACCTCAGTGTCTTGTTTCTTTTCATTATGTCTGGGGTTGTGGTCCACTGTGGTAACTTTGTCACCACGCTTGTCCCACCACCACCATCCTGTTTGTGGGTCTCTGCAATACTGTTTCCACGCACCATTCATTTTCCACCATCCTGTCTCAAGAATGGTGTAGTCTTCATCTTTGTTGTCCCGCAGCTGCTCTTGTCTAGACGGGTCAGGTTTGGGCTCCTGTTTCACCGCTTTCTTTTTCTTAAACATCTTTTTGGGTGAATTTTGACCGACCACTTGACCTAACAAGGACATCACGGATTCAAACTCTTTCGGAAAAGAACCTTGGTTAAGACATACCTTCAAACCTTGGATCAAACTCCTAACCGCGGCGTTGTCATTGTCACTGTAATTCTTTTTCCTTTGCGTCCTTCGTTTATATCCACCTTGCAACCACTCAGAGGCAAAAATGCAATTGTTCGCATCAGGCTTGTACCAGCTCAGTGCATCATATCCAAGTGGCCATTCTTCGGGTCTCGGAAAACCCGAATAGAGGAAAGAGTATGACAGGGAAACATCCATGCCATTGGTTCGAACATATGTCCATCTCATCCGAAGCTTCAAAGCACATCGTCTGTGTTTCAGGCGTGCTTTTCCGAGTCTGTGCGTGCTGCATTTTCTAGCAGCACATGCAACATGTGGTTTCAACAACTTCTGACAGCGTTTGAGATCACTGCATTTTTTCACTGAGCGTTTGTTTTTCAAGCGTTTGATGATTCGTTTTCGTTTGCGTTTGTCTTGAGCCCGTTTGAGACATGCAAGCACAAATTGCTTAGTGACACCGTACCTAAGCAACCAGCCGCAAATTTCTCCCATGGTGCCCAAACAAAACCAGATAAGAAAGGGTGACCAATGAATTTTTTCATCAAACCATCCCATCTCAAAATTCCACATTTCGAGGGGAAAAGATTCCCAGGGGCGAAACCCAATTTTCCACCATTCCAAACCCAAATTCCACATTTTGGAGGAAACAAAATTCAGAGGGTAAAATCCAAACTTCCCATGGTGACACCTAGCGACCAAATCCAAAATCACATTGAGGATCCCAGGGAATTTACGTTTTGAGGGGTCAGAACCAGAACCGTAGGGGTGGATATCGAAAGTAGTTGCACTTACTTCCGTCAAAAGTCTGAAACCAGCTTCCACATCCACGGAGCCATATTCGCTCAGCGCATCTGCAATCTGCCGCCCGCTGCGAGGCACATCGATTGTCAGCTGCCATTTTTTCCCGTTGCGGGTCATCTCTGGGGGGCCGTTAGACTGAGTTGTGGCATTTTCCACAATCAATCCAGGGCGGCCGGTGTAATTGACGTCATGGTTGGCGGCCAGGTCCTTGTTGGTGTCAAATGCAGCACAGCAAGGCACAGACCAGCAAAGCATCAGCAGCCAGCCAGCCATCATCCTAGGATTGGCCTTATGGCTCTTGTCTTTTTTGGCGATTTGAAAAATCGCTCTCTTCGTGCAATGCACATTCAAATTCTTGAATTGGTTCTTTTTGTCTTCCTTTTTTGACTTTTGTTCTTTTTCTTTTTCTTTTGTATTTTTCTTTTCAAATTCTTCTGCAACAAACGTGGGCCATGCCACGTTAATTTTCTCTCCTGCCTGGCACCCGTGACGAGCCCGCAGCGACCGTGCCACTCTGCTGTGGCTGGAGGCGCAGGAGAAGCTGCTACCTGAAATCTGATGATGATGTAGACAATGACGCTGCCCGCACTTGCCCGCAGCCGCAGCGCAGGCCAGAGGCGATCGCCAGAATAGAATGGAGGTGGTTCTAGTCGTCGTGGCGCTGCTGCAACACATCAGCACGTGTTGCAGCTGCAAACCTTAGAAGTTTGTTGTCATGGTCCACCTTAGTAGGATCAGTAGTGGGCCATGCGAGTCTTTCCTGCAGCACATCGTGGGGTCTAATAGTAGGATCACGGTGTGGGTTCTGAGTACATTCCCAAAGCATGTGCTGCACAGTGGCACAAACATGTTGGCAATAAGGGCATGTTTCTTCAGCACCTCCCATGGCATTTCGACATTGAGGTGAAATGAAAGCACCAGTTACAACAGCCAGTTCGTGACTGTTGAGTTTTTCTTGCGCAGAATATTAATGCGGGTCAGGTCACATGGAATGTCTGCACAAACCGTTGAGTCGCGTCGGTCAAGTTCCAAGAATTCCTCATATTTTCTGATTCGCCAAGCATCTCTGAGCCTATGTGACAGCACTTCGGTCGCCTTTTCAGGCAGCGTGGTTGGTTGAATCTGAATAGTTTCAAGCATCGGGTGCGTCCAGGTCCAACTACCAGCCTCAGCGAACCCAAGTTCTTGCATGCCTTTTCTAAAGCTACCCGTCCAGCCACTCATTTTGGGTGGCCAGTTTTGCAACTGCATCTGTGTTTTGTGAACATAGCGGGTGAGGACTCGGAGAGTCGTAACCGTGGCAGCAAAACCTAAGTCCCACCAATGGCCAGTAAAAATTTGGAGTAAAGGTACGGCTGACTGCTTTGGCCACTGATGCAGCGCTTTTGCTCCCTGAAAGAAAGCGTTGCTTTCAGCATGAGTGGGTCTTCGAAACAGCCATCCCCAACTTGCTTTTGCTGGGGCACAAACCCTGGCAACTGCAGCTTTACGTGTTTTGGAACCTGGGAGGCACCTACATTTTCGAAGAACTTCTTTGGCCTCAGTGAGTCTTGTCAGTTCTCGGTCTTTGGCTTTTCTTTGGGTCACTCCCATGAACTGGAATCCCAACAAGGTGATGGAAGTGGAAACTGTTTCTGGAGGACAGCCGGCATCCTCGAGAGATCGGCAACCTTGAACGTTGCGGTGGTAATATTGCTCTTTGGTGGGGTTTTCTTGAAGACCAACCTTATTGCTCCAAACATGCCATTCATTTCGAACTTGCCATATTTCAGTCGCAGTGGAACAAGTGAAAGAACGATCATCGGCATATAAAGCTTGAACGCAACAAGGGTATTTTCTCTGAATGTGATTGGCAATGGGAGTAAGCAAAACACACATGCCTAACATGCTAAAGCAGTCACCTTGCGGCAGGGAGCGCTTGACAACATGGTTGTTTGGGAAAAATTCGTCATGGAGCTGAAGAAAACGGATTTGTTCGCTCCACATGCTTAACAACATGCGTGCAGCTTTGCGCGGCATACCTTGGTGGACAAAGAGTTTGCAGATTATCTCAGGGTCAGAATAATCGAAAGCTTTTGTCAGGTCAAGTGTACCAACCGGCCAGCTATGCATGTCTTTGAGGATTATGTGAGAGATAGCATCCTCAACACCTTTTTGGGGAATTCCCCCAAACATGAATTCGGGGGTGGATGTGTGGATCCATTCCTGAACCTCAGTTTGTTTGAATCTGGCTCGGCTGCAGATTCGCCAGATTATCGACATCACAGCTATGGGACGCATGTTGTCCGCCAGCATGCTGCCGTCAGCTTCAGGTGGTTTCCCTTTCGGGATATGCACTTGGCGAACACATCGCCATATGGTAGGAATGTTTCCGAGCTCTTCACAATGATCATAGAACCCGGACATGACCTGCCACATTTCGTCACTGAACAAACTAAGTTCCTCAGCTCTCCAGCCGTCAAGCCCCGGCGCACTGCCGCGGCTACACTTGGTGGCAGAACGGAGTTGTTCCGGTGTGAGGCTTGGCCAGCTGTCAGGAGCAGGGCGTGGTGGAGTGTGAGTAACCAAATCATCCCAAATATCATCCCAAGAGATTTGACGTCTATTCCAAATATCGGCCCAAAATTCCCTGAGAATCCTCAGGCTGTCTTGGGTGGAGTGACTAGGAACAGAGTCTTTGGTTTTCTTAACCGCATTGCACATGGGAACAGATCTATGTCGCAGCCACCTGTATGCAGCCTTGTCATGTTCCATGTTGTTTCTCCATCGTTGAAGTCTGGTGTAGTCATCTTCATGATTGAACCGTTCCAAAAGCGTTTCAAGATGCCGAAGGTTTCTTTGTATACCCCAATCATGGTTGTACATAGAACACCGTCTGATTTTATTCCAGAGAACTCGGCTTTCAGTGATATTTTGCCTGTCTTGATCCAAGTTTCGCTGGGCTTCCCGCAACCTTCCAATCAATCTGCGCAGAACTCTTTGGCGGTGAGTAGCCATAGCTCCAGCAGGATGTCGTTTCATGTGTTCTTTCTGTTTAAGAGAGACCTCAGTGGCCTTTCCTTTCCTCAGTAAGGCCGGAGACACTCGCTGCAGCATGTCAGGGGCAGCAGCCCTGACTGCACAAACTAGGGCTTGAAAAAAAGTTTGCGAAAGCATCTGCCAGTCCTGGTCAACATTGACTGACCATCGCTCTGGAAGTTGTGTGGAAAACTGCGGCCAGAGCTGAGCCAATTTGATTTGGATTCGTTCAGCAACTTCCGGGTCCTTCGGGAGGATTCTAGGAATGTTGGCTTGTTGGAAACCTAAAACAGGTTCGGTAGATAAATCGAAAAAAGTTTTGACAATTTTGTGGTCGGCTACAACATCAGGAAGCGTTTCGACCTCAGTGGGCTCAAGGTTACTGATATAGTAGTCAATATCGCGGTTTCCTTGCCACCGCGTTGGGGTTTGAGTGGCATGAATACGAAATTCCCTAGGAATCAAGAAATGAAGAAAGGGATTCTCTTCGGGTGTGGCATTGTAATCCCCCCCCAAAATAAAACGATGTCTTGGAGCGAGAGAGTGGACAGTTTGAGCCACAGCTGCACTCACGGTTTCTGCATCACTGTTAGGAGCCAGGTAAGTGGAGATGACCAGAGTTGATCCCACCCACACAGCTTGGGCACTACCTCCTTTGTGAGTGTGTGACCAGGCCGGTCTACAAGGTAGTGAAGATTTAACCAAGACTGCAGCTCCTCCGTAGTGTCGATTGACGGTGCTTTGCGCACCGGAGAAAAAACTTCTGTACCCCACAGACCAACAAGTTTTTTGAAATGTGGTCCATTCAGCCTGGCTAAAAGAGCATTCCTGAAGCAGCACAATCTGAGGTGCCTGCTCCTGGGTTTGGAGCAGCTGTTGTAAGGTCCACGATTGTTTGGGTCCTTGAGTGTTGCATGTCCAAACTGACACATGTTGATCCAAGTTGCGCAATTTTCGTGATCTTGGTCCTGGATGGGACGCTTCACCAATTCTCACAGCAACCTTATCATTATGGTCATGTTCTTTGGCTCTACGGCTGCGCTTGTTGGAGGATTGGGAGGCAAAAAGCTCCTCCCCCTGCTGCAGAGTCTTCCCCCATGCTTGACTGAGGGCTTTTTTTTGGGTTTTAGTTAAAGACTGCCAATATCTTTTCTGAGACTGGAAACCTTTGGAGGTGGGATCATGTCCCAGGCATGGATTCGTCCAGATTTTGACAGCACCAAGTGGATTAACCTTGTGGCAAATTTTACAGGTCAGGTATCCCTTGGGAAACTTTTTAGCAGTGGAGTCCGGGTGGCGCATGGCATCCGGCGGAAGGACCTCAGTAACTAAGTGCCCTGCAGCTTGCGCCGCCTGAAAAGTGGTGGCAAACGGACCGCTAAGCCACTTGGCTGGCCCTTTACCGTTGACTCTTTTTTTGGTTTGGAAGTTTGCATTTGCAACCTCGGCTTCAGTCATACCAAGTCCGTTTCTGATGGCACCTTGGTTCGCAGGGTGTCGCAAAGCCATGTTTCGGATCCAACCCAGCAATTGAGTCGGGATAGGTTGAGTTTCATCAGTGCATGCGGTGGTTTTGAATCTACATGGTGTCCCTTTTCGTCTGCATTTGGCACAAACAAGCACGGACGTCAAATCAAGTTTGCGTCTCTCTTCTTTGGGGTTATGTTTGAGAAGAATTTGGCGAACATCATGCCCCGTTTGCGGAGCCCAAACTTTCAGGTTGTCAGCGACCTTCTGTTGTTTGAGCTGACCTATATGTCTGCCTCGCAGTTTCATACGAGCTCGAAGGCCTTTGTCAGTTCTTTGTTTCTTCCTGTACGCCTGAGTTGGATTTGTGTCAGGGTGTGCCTCGGCAAAATGTTTGCGGACACTAGCTTCGTGCCAAACTTTTGGCAACAGTGGGAGTCCTTTCCCGCATTCTGGGCAACTCCAGGCTCTGCCACTTTCAGGAAGTTCCGAGGTCGGGACTGTGATCTGAGTTTGAGCACCGAGTCGCGGGCATTCAGCTCTTTCGGAATCTGTATGTCTATTTTTCAGGTGTGAACTTTTTGCAGCTTGAAGCTTGGCTCTCGCTTGCAAACCTGCAGGAATTCTGATTTCATGCCGGCAGTCAGGCAGCGGACAAACCCATACCTGAGGTCCTTGCGGTTTGGCAAGCGTCTTAGCATCCAGCCGCTTGAGGTGTCGAGGATATGGAGCAGTGTCAGGGCGAAAGTCGCATTCTGTGTTGTCATTTTTGACTGCGCCTTTGTCCTTAGTACCCGACCGGTCCTTGGTCAGGTTGTCTGTCAAATTGAGGTGAGTTTCTGAGGTTAAAGATAAAACCGAAGCTTTATCGTTCTCAGAGGGTGCAAGAAACTTCATGTCTTCAATCCTTGAGTCACAACTGCTTTGCTTGAACCTGCATCTTTTGAATGGTCTTGCAACCGTTTCACTCGGATGCTGCAACTGCTGGGATTTGATGGCAGCACGCGGAGGTTCGCAGGAGTGAGGGGAGGCAGCCAAGGTAAGAAGAGAGGGGGAGCGCGGAGGATGGGGTCGCGCAAGGGCACCCGAAGAACCACCACCCGCCGCATGGCCGTGCACAACCGCGCGCAGACGCGGAGGAGAAGACGCGGAAGGAACCAAGGAGTGCAGGGACGGCGCGCGCGTGATCATCACACCCCCACCCGAGGATCCGCGAAAGGAGGAGGCGGGGAGAGTATGGAGCGAAGGAGCATGGGAAGAGCCAGGGGAGAGCGTGTGCAGGGTTTTAGGCGATTCTCCAACGCTTGGTCCAGCGCCTCCAAGTGCTTCGGCCTCGGGTTTGGCTGTCTCTCGCGCCCAGTGTTTGGGCACCTTAGTCATGCCGTCCTGATCCTGGGGTGGTCGGACGGATTGATAATGTTTGTCGTTTCTGTACACCACCAGGATTGGTGCTTCTTTTTTCATTCTGGGCATCCCCTGTGGACTCCACTCAGGAGCGAAAGTGAATCTTTCCAGAACTTCATCTTTTTGATTCCACACCACTATGCAGCATGATTTCACCTCTGCTGCTGCTTGCAGCAGCAGTCCACATATCCAGTGAGTTTGCTTCAACGCATTGTCACAAAAGGCAGGAAAGGCCTCTTTCCCACCTCTGACATGGTTTTCGTACCTATCTTGATGTTTGCGAACATGTCGTACCACTTCCGTACGAAATAGATTGGCATTTTTGATGCATTCTTCTTTGGAAAGAGTCTCACCAGTGGTTTGATAATGAAAGTTGTCTATTAATGCCCGGTACCCACAGTCACCGCATCCACCTTGATCGGCCAGCGTCCAGTTTTGGGTTAAGGCATCCGTCAAATTACCAAGAGACTGCGAGGTTGGCTTTGAACTCTGCTTGTCAATCGCTTCAGGCTGAGTCTGAGAGTCCAACTGCGTTTTTTCGACTTCCATTGGGTCCTTATTTTCATCGCCCTTTTCGGGCTTCTCAGCGGCAGATCTGGACCGATGTCGCTCATCGGGTTCTTTGGCCTGCCTCTTCGCGGGGCGCCCCCGCGTGTTGGCCGTCTGTGGAGGCTGATCCTTAATTTCATCCCATGTCTTCCTTGGTCCTCTGACTGCAGTGGTGCTGTTTGGCGCTGCAGGTTTATGGACCGAGTCGTTGACTATTATGGTAAACACAGTGGCACCTTCATACACCCAAAGACCCTGGTCGTATGGGTATGCAACAGGAGGCATTCCACAGGCGTTCCAAAAAATTTTCTTGTTGACCCTTCTTCTATTGTGAATAGTCATTTGGGTCCATCCTTGTTGTTTGAGGAAATCAACCAGTTCTTCCGCCATCCAGTCCCTGGGAACTCCAGAAATCTGAATTCGTTTGGGTTTCTTTTCGATGTCTTCATCTGATTTCTTTGTGAAACCAATGTCATTTCCCAACCCTTTCCGTAAGCACATCGGCTGGCCTCTCTCGCCTGAAAGACGAAGGCATCTCTGGTAGTATGCTTCATCGGTTTCATCTTTTTCGTGTTTGGTCCACACAAAATGCGGACGTTCCTTAGAGGTATCAATATTCTTATTGATAAAAATACCTTTTTTCCCTGATTTTTCCAGGAGGGTTTCCGCATCTTTTTTGGTGAGCTTAAGCCATCCTACCAAACTTGAACTTTGTTTCTGCCATTCCTGTCTTTCCCACCTGCCACCTGTGAGGACATGTGCACGACATCCAAAAGTGGCCAAGTCGGAAATGACATCAACGACACGTTCCTTTTGGGGTTCAGATACAAAGAGTTCTCTATAGTGAGAGGGAACGACAATTCTGACCAATTCCCTTTCAACCGTAGTAACATTGTTGGGATCAACTTTAACAGGGTGAGTTCTCCAAGGGTAGTCAGAGCCTAAACCGAGCAAGGCAATGTCTTCGACCTTGGCATGTTGGTTTGTCCTTTGAAGCCTGGTCCTGCTCAGTGTGATGCCAAGCTGATTCATTGCATCAGCTGACAAAACCAAAGTGAGTCCTTTCGTGAAACCAAAGCTTGTGTACAAGTCACGAAGTTCTTGGGTGACCTGTCTGTCATGACTGCAGCAAATATTTCCATCCCAGTCTTTTCCTTCCTTAATGGCCTGGCAAACTGTTTGCGCATCCACAAGTTTGATTGGCTTGTTCCATTCAACTGGGTTGAGAGCTCGCACCTTGGCAAGGTTTGGAGTATTCTGTTGAGGTTTGTGAACCTCAGTGTCTTGTTTCTTTTCATTATGTCTGGGGTTGTGGTCCACTGTGGTAACTTTGTCACCACGCTTGTCCCACCACCACCATCCTGTTTGTGGGTCTCTGCAATACTGTTTCCACGCACCATTCATTTTCCACCATCCTGTCTCAAGAATGGTGTAGTCTTCATCTTTGTTGTCCCGCAGCTGCTCTTGTCTAGACGGGTCAGGTTTGGGCTCCTGTTTCACCGTTTTCTTTTTCTTAAACATCTTTTTGGGTGAATTTTGACCGACCACTTGACCTAACAAGGACATCACGGATTCAAACTCTTTCGGAAAAGAACCTTGGTTAAGACATACCTTCAAACCTTGGATCAAACTCCTAACCGCGGCGTTGTCATTGTCACTGTAATTCTTTTTCCTTTGCGTCCTTCGTTTATATCCACCTTGCAACCACTCAGAGGCAAAAATGCAATTGTTCGCATCAGGCTTGTACCAGCTCAGTGCATCATATCCAAGTGGCCATTCTTCGGGTCTCGGAAAACCCGAATAGAGGAAAGAGTATGACAGGGAAACATCCATGCCATTGGTTCGAACATATGTCCATCTCATCCGAAGCTTCAAAGCACATCGTCTGTGTTTCAGGCGTGCTTTTCCGAGTCTGTGCGTGCTGCATTTTCTAGCAGCACATGCAACATGTGGTTTCAACAACTTCTGACAGCGTTTGAGATCACTGCATTTTTTCACTGAGCGTTTGTTTTTCAAGCGTTTGATGATTCGTTTTCGTTTGCGTTTGTCTTGAGCCCGTTTGAGACATGCAAGCACAAGCACAAATTGCTTAGTGACACCGTACCTAAGCAACCAGCCGCAAATTTCTCCCATGGTGCCCAAACAAAACCAGATAAGAAAGGGTGACCAATGAATTTTTTCATCAAACCATCCCATCTCAAAATTCCACATTTCGAGGGGAAAAGATTCCCAGGGGCGAAACCCAATTTTCCACCATTCCAAACCCAAATTCCACATTTTGGAGGAAACAAAATTCAGAGGGTAAAATCCAAACTTCCCATGGTGACACCTAGCGACCAAATCCAAAATCACATTGAGGATCCCAGGGAATTTACGTTTTGAGGGGTCAGAACCAGAACCGTAGGGGTGGATATCGAAAGTAGTTGCACTTACTTCCGTCAAAAGTCTGAAACCAGCTTCCACATCCACGGAGCCATATTCGCTCAGCGCATCTGCAATCTGCCGCCCGCTGCGAGGCACATCGATTGTCAGCTGCCATTTTTTCCCGTTGCGGGTCATCTCTGGGGGGCCGTTAGACTGAGTTGTGGCATTTTCCACAATCAATCCAGGGCGGCCGGTGTAATTGACGTCATGGTTGGCGGCCAGGTCCTTGTTGGTGTCAAATGCAGCACAGCAAGGCACAGACCAGCAAAGCATCAGCAGCCAGCCAGCCATCATCCTAGGATTGGCCTTATGGCTCTTGTCTTTTTTGGCGATTTGAAAAATCGCTCTCTTCGTGCAATGCACATTCAAATTCTTGAATTGGTTCTTTTTGTCTTCCTTTTTTGACTTTTGTTCTTTTTCTTTTTCTTTTGTATTTTTCTTTTCAAATTCTTCTGCAACAAACGTGGGCCATGCCACGTTAATTTTCTCTCCTGCCTGGCACCCGTGACGAGCCCGCAGCGACCGTGCCACTCTGCTGTGGCTGGAGGCGCAGGAGAAGCTGCTAACCTGAAATCTGGCGGAGAAAAAAAAGAAAACGGAAGCCGTCAGAACTCGACGAAGACTGGACGATGGGATGCATTTGCTTTTCTTCAATTCATCTTCAACGTTTGGATACAGCCAGCCATGCGTGATTCTAGGTTGAAATGATGAAAACGCGTAAAACATATAAAACTGAAAAAAAACAGAAATCATTGATATCGCGCCACTGATCCTTTCCATACTGGGGTAAGTTCGCTTCAGTTCTAGTTGAGGGTTACTGCTTTGTACGTAGCACTAAGTGAGCTACCTAGATTCAACGAGTGTAGATTGCAAGATTCACAGGCACTGCTTCCGACCTGGTTGGCTAGCTAGTGTAATCCTTCGACTTATCGCTGGATATATTTACAGTATATAACTGGCAAGCTTCACTTCCAAACTAACTAATCTTTGTGAATGCGCATGGACCATGCGCATTCATCAAGAAAAGTTTGGAAGGCCACATGGATGGATAGATAAATGGTGAACAAATGGAAGAGCGGATGTATACATGAACATATCATAATTACATCGATAAAGTCCCTTGCAACGAAGAAGTCCTGCGATCCAAAAGTGTCTGCAAAAAGCTACATTGAATATTGAATAATTAATATATTGAAATAATATATTGAATACATTTGAACACACTTCAAGAAAATGGGCTCCCCCGGGCTCCCCCAATCGACAGCTCCGACAGCTCTTCTCAATTCCGAGCAGCCACATTCAGCACCTTACGCGACCAAATGCTGACCGATAGAAGGTTGCTGTTGGCTTCTTTGGATAGTTTTGGACTTCCAATCAAAGGACATCGGGTTGGAAGCAAAATAATCAAAATAGATAAAGAATGATAAAGAAACGCTAGCTTTCTGCAAACAAGGTGCCGCAAAGTACGTGAAAGACACGAAGAAAAGAAAGAAGAAAACCCACACTGTTGATATAGCCTTCAGGGGAGCCTGAACATCTTCCCAGCTTGCACCACCAGCAATGCACATGAAAAGGCTCAACATGGTGTCCGGCAGTGAGGAGAAATACCGCTGGCTCGCCAGCATCTCTCTCTCGGGCAGAGCAGGGTTGTCCGGGTTGAGGATGTGATCTTGCACTGCCTGCACGAATAATACCTGGCGAAGAATGATCCCCAGAATTCCCCAGAAGTCTAGCGCTTAGCGCGACAATGCCATACAGTTTTTTTTTGTCAGGGCTTCGCGAAGGATATGCCAGAAAGGTTGGTAAACCTGTTTAGTGCCAAAAGAAAATTAAAAAGTCGGTAAATGTCAGTCAACATGAAAGTGTAGGCTGCAATCATCTGAAATCCATCGAGATACTGCGAAGACGTAAACAATCAGCACCAAAAGTGCCAAAGCCCAAAAAAGAGATTGCAAGGTATGAAGGATCGATGTGATCAGAGTCCTTAGAGCCATCACAAAGCGGAAAATCCGCATCAGGCGAACAGCCTTCACGATGCGAGTGACACGTATCACTCGGAGCGCTTTCAAGTTGATGACCCCTGCGAATCTCTCTGGCTCAGCTGCCTGGCCAACAAAATCCAACTGCCACGCGCAAGGAACGGCAACAAGTGTAGCAAACCCAAAGCATGAAGTCACAACATGCTACCGAATTGATATATCATTATATCATGGTATGTCATGAAATATATCTGAAATGTCTATCTTTCTGCTATCCATGTGATACTTCAAAGAACTCACGGATAGATCAATGTCAATGATATTATCAACTTATCAACCCTTTTGGGCTGGTTCAATGCTTTGCTCAGGACTTTTTTCAAGCGGTTCTAATAGAACATATAGAACCATGAACATCTAAGTATTAAAGCATACGGATGCATAGGGTACTAGCCTGGCTGAGTGTCTCGCCAAAAGCACACTCTCACACCCCTACAGACTCATACAAACAAACACAGATGGACACAGATGCTTGCTTCGAAAATGGTTACTGCATTGTCAGCTGCTATCATCTGCTATCTGGTTCTCTCATTCACCACCCCCATCCTCCCATCCTCCCATTCACATCCAGCCTGGCTCCCGCTCCAGACATAGATGAGATCTACGGCAAGCTCCCACAACGAGCTGAGAACAATAAAAATGTCCAACCATGTCCTTGGCTTGCCAACCCCATGGCCTACAAGATCCCGTCTTATCGGCAAGGTCGTTTTTCACACGCGTTGAATGGATACACAGTAAGTCCTACATCGGTATATTATATATTGTAGTTACGGTATATTCCACTATCCAAACATATGAAGTACCTAGTTCTATTATATATGACTTTGTCGGGGCGAAGTATAAGAAACCGTCGGTTCACCGTAGGAAGTGTGCTCAGGCAATGGGTACTCGAAGCAGCTAGTTGGTGCCAACATGTGCCAACGCGTCTGGTTGTATTTGCTCGGCAAACTGGTTGGAGTCACCGATGACACGGAAAATGACGAGCTAAGCGGCTAGCTTGAAAAAACAGCCCTCCCGTCTGAGCTGAAAAGGTGTTGAAACACTTTGAAGATCTTTGAAGCATGCCCCCCCCTGAAACACCCCCCTGCGTACGAACACAACCAGTTGTGCTGGCTTGAACTGGGGACTTTACATTTGAGGGGTTACCAGCGTACCAAAAGCCACACCCAAACAATTCCAGCTGTTGGCATCTTAGTGTCCTACTTGCCCTCTCCTTACAGAAACCTGCAGGGGCTGCAATGCCAGCCCAAGCTGCAGGAGGGGAGAATTTGACAATCTTTGATACTCTTTGTTGGCAATATCCACACAGGCATGTGTATACATATTGATTATCATTGAATGAACACGACACTGAAAAATGTTTGAAAGCTCCGTTTTAAGAGGGCAAGTGTCCACATCCATTCATCGCACAGGTAAAAGCGCCAGTCAGCCAGAAGCCTCAAGCCGAGCTCCACGGAAAACAAGAAAGTGTAGGCGTACTGGAAGATGTAGATGGCAAGCGGTCGTGACCCCTGAATTTCGAGACCCAGCTGTACTTCCACACCTATAAAGATTGAATTGCTGAGAACAACGAAGGCGAAGAAGAAGTCAAAGCCCGAGTGCTTCACAATACGCTTCAAGCACCCTTCTCTTGCTCCCTTCAAAGAATCCTTTTGTCTGACGCTGGCGTACCTTGCATACAAGTCCATTCAGCTCTCCCGATGCTTTCAAAATCTTTCAAAGCAGCTGGTGGTGCCGGAGATGTGTTCGCTTGAGGAAATGGCGCGCCACCACTAATCAAAAAATGGTTTTCAATCATGTGACTTGCTACTACTGAATTGCTTGCGTGGCACCAGGAATTTTCAGAACATTGGCAGCACCCTTCACTGGAGTTTGCAAGCTCGCACTCTCCGACGCATGTCCCCTGAATTCTTTACTCTCCCGAGTGTCATTGTTGATGATTGTTGATGATTGTTGATAAAGATTATTATTGTGCGCATAGGACAGGGGATCTGCCATCGCAATCTTATCCTCTTGGCCTCTTGGCCTACAGGTCACCTCGCCAGCCAATCAACAACATTGTTTGTAGCAAAGAAGATCCGGTACCTACTACGAACAGGCTTCAAGCTCACCCTAGTGCATCTTCGTATATACAGTTTGTAAATGTTTGCAACCAATCTGTTCACAAATTGATGACTAAATTTCATTGGATGCTTGCTGATGCTGGTCTGTCAGTGGAGACAAGTTGCTTCCTCTTCCTGTGGGCTGAATCTGCACGAGCTGCGACTCTCTTCAGTGACTTGTCAAACTGCTCGAAAGAGCTGAAAAGATTTGGTGTAAACGAAGCACGGATCCGCGCAGCGACAGGAGTCTTTTCGCCTTTCTTGGGCTGATCCTGAGAAGCATCTGAACGCGAGGAAGGCGAGAGGTCCACAGACATTGATCCAACTTCTGCTTTCATGCTACACCTTGGAGAGGTGCACAGTTTCGATGCTGACATCACAAGTACCCAAGTCTGACTTTGCCAGGCATGATCTGGAATACCTGGCATACCATTGAGAATTTCTTATGGCATTGACCGTTAAACTCATATGGCACCACACAATCGATGGTTCGAGAAACATCCAGAAACATGGGCTAACATGGGGTCGACATGACTATAACACAATACTGATAATATACTGGTACTATCTGATACTGATAATATATATATATGCATATAATTATTATATATATACTGATTATATACTGATAATATACTGATAATGCTGCTCATTTTGGCACCTCCTTTTGCACCTTTGTCCCCGTTGCTTAAACACTAAGTAACACAAACACCCTTTGGGTTGATGCAAAGAGTCTTGAACATCTACATCAATGATTGCATATGTCAATATGATTCAATATGATGCATATTCATATTCCTTGCATGAATTTGCTTAAGATCATTGCCCAATCCTCCAATTTTAGTGAATAATTGTAATTTCTAGGAACGAATTAAAAGAGCACCGTTGCTTCCACAATGCCTTTTCTATGGTTCTGCGTGGCACCGCTGTCCGGTGCTGCGGCTACAATACCCATATATGGCTTTGTTGTAATTGAACGGCGTGGAACCGTGCGGCATGATATCTGCAAATTTTACTTTAAATTCAAAACGGTTTCCTCGTCTTAAATCTACTTTTCCCCTCTGATTAAATCTTCAGGCCTCGCCTCGTTACATTCAAAACGGATTTCAGCCCTCGTCCCATTTCTTTCTCGACCGCAAGCCATTCGAACTAGTCCTCTGCCTCCTTTTGGGTTGAACTTTTTTGAATTATCTTTGTCGTCGTTGCAGCAACGCTCTGGGCTCCAGAGGCTTGGGGATGCTGAAAAAACTTTTCAGGGCCTAAAAAGTTTTTTCCTGTTTCCGAGATGCCTCTTTTACAAGCGGATTTGCAGGGGCTCGATTCCCCCCAAATTCGACCCCAGAGAAGAGAAGCTGCAGCAGCAGCACCAAGATACCCCGCTACACCTCAAGCTTTAGCAATTTTAGAATCTAGTCGCGCTACCTGGGAAAGGTGAATAAGAACTATTGACCAAAATTTCAGGGTTCCCTAGGGTTCTTATTTCAATTAGCTGGTAGACAGAGTTGAATCCAGCAATCCAGCCCCTGAGGTTCTTAATGCAGTGGGTTCTTAAACAGTGGTTTCACTGTAGAACAAATACGGAAGTCCTGGAACAACCGGGCATGCCACCACAGGGCACTGACTGAATTACGATAAAAAAAACTTTTCGGGCTCCAGAAAGTTTTTTTTCACGGGTCTGAATGCACCCTTAATTTTCTATTTTTTTCACTCTGATGGGAACCAAAAAAACTTTCTGGAGCCCGAAAAGTTTTTTTTCACTCGTTGCACATGCTTTGAAAGCAATTTCTGCCCACCTCGTTTTCTGAATTTAATTAATTCACCTCGCTTAAATTGCAAAGATTCACCTCGTACCTCGTCAGCCCTCGCTCTAAATTGTGATATTGATACCCGTTACGCTCCGTCAACACAACTGCGGGACTGTCGAAAGATGTCGAAAGTGACTGTTTCTACTGCACCAAGCCACACCTGTCCAATACCTTTCGGATGGATTGATTCGGGGACAGATTCGCTTCGGAAGCTCATGCGAGTGAGAATGTCCAAGCTGTCGTGCAAACGATCAAGCCGATCCAAAATCTCCAAGTGTTGCTTCAAAGTGGCCAAGGTATCATTTTCGTCAGCGGGATTTTCGTAATCTGCAGGTGCCAACGGAAATTTAAGAAACTAGCGTTTTCTGTTCCCCCTGCATCCCCAAAAGTGTGGCTGCCCAGTACGCTACGGTTCATCTCTTGATTTGGAAACAAGTGTAAGTGTGTACGACATATCCACGAACCGCGCACCATAGACATGATAGAACCGATGCATGCATATTCAGCACAAAATATTACACATACTTGCATTCGGTATGTCAGCACAACCTTCCAAATGGTTTGACTTTGAAGGGTGCATTGAACAAATTCAGCCATTCGGCCAACAAAAAACGACTCTACAAGGCAAGCCAGAAAACCAGCGGTGCTAGGCTGAAGCTGTTTCGGGAGATGGTCATCTAACCAATGGGCATCCTTCTAAAAGGACCAGGCTGGAATGAATCACCAGATATCACTAGGAATTCTGGGGCGATGAGCGTCCTCACTTTTGACTGCAGGACCTTTGCACAATGTAGACACCCAGAATCATCAAAGAGAACACTAACTCCCAGATCCTGATCCCCAAACAGCCGAATGAAAAGCATGTGACACTGTGAAACCCGAAAAAAAAATGCAGGCATCTGATTCAACCCAGCCTGCATCACTTTCAATCGACCTGCCCGCTGCGTCAGCTTCGCCCACGCCACACCAAAGATGTCCTGGCCTCACCGGTATGGTCCTTTGAGGTGTTTCGATAAGCTCCTGCAGTACATCTTACATCAGGCATGCGATGCCAATGCCCAGCAACCACAGCACACCAGTTTAAACATATTCAAACGAGTCAAGGAAAGGTGGAAAGAAGCGGAAAGAAGGAGGCTTGTAAGAATCTTTGCAGTATACTTCCTGAGTGATCAGATGTGTTGCACCCTGACTTGGTCCCAGCCTCGTCCGACCACAAAGTTCCAAAATGACTGCATGCCTGAGTTGAATTGAACACCATATCATCAGGCTCATTCTCAACCGCCTTATTGCCGACGGTGGTGTCCACTTCAGAGGGCGTCTCCATTGGCAGCTTCGCTGTACAAATTGTTGAGTGATTCTATGGTTTCATAACAAAGCGCCGCCCTTTGAATGCCGATTTTGAGAGCAGAGCGGCTAAAAGTTCGGGCAACGGGCCAACACAAATGAAGAGGCTGTGAGAAAGGAAAGAGGGACATCTGACCCTCTATGATGTCCGATCTCTAGGATTTTCAAGTTTCGGACCTCTGAGATCCAGATCCAACTGCCAGCACATAGCTAGGCAGCTTGGTGACTATAGGTTGCACAAGTGCAATCAATTGAATATTGTCACATAGTCAATCAAACCTCGCCGCAACACAAAGATTTAGCCATGCACCCGCCATAACATGCCACAACCAGTCACCAAAGCTTTCACTCAACCGAGTTAACCATTGGCCCCGTTGGTCCCATTGACCACTCTCAGCTGGGCCTCTTCCAAGGTTTCCGCCTTGCACAAGTCCTGCTCCGACTTTACCTAGCTCTTTGCCCGTTATCAGCTGTCCGCCCCTGTCTGAAGTTTTTGCTTTGCCGGGCCTGAAGTTTTTGATAAGTTGATAACCAGGAATTATTGCATGTTGATGATCATATATTGATGGATTGTCCTTGTCTCAGAGTGAACCTGTCTGCAGCGCCACACAGGCTGGAAGCGCCCTGTCTCACAATGTATCCTATCTAAATTACTGTCTTCGAGTGTTCCCCACCCTGACACACTATTCTGGCATAGTTTCTGACATACCATCTGGAAGTATACATGGCAAATGTATAGGTATCTAATGCATTCTTTCTGGCATATGCTCTGAACTTCTATCCGACATTCTATCCGGCATCTATAGCTACAAACTGGCATATATTCTGATATTCTTTCTGGCATTCTCTATCTGGCATCTATTCTGGGATTCTATTTGGCATCTATTCTGACATTCTTTCTACTCTAGCTGACATATATATATATATGTGAACAAATTGATCCTTGTTTTGGATTATCCCTTTTGATTGTAGTACCGGTTGTGCTGGTAGTGCAGGGCAACGTCACTGCATGGCGTTCGGAGAACGGTCTTTTTCCTCGCGCATGACTTGAGCCAAGTGATTGGCAGTCCATGCATAATTGTTTACATGCTCAGCATGTGCAGTTGCTGTATTACCTGGTTCCCTTTCGCACCCCCCATGCCTACGGCATCTTCGAACCGTAGGCACGAGAGTGGGAACTTTGAATTAAGTCCTTCTGCTGCTCGAATTACGCCTATGTACATAAGACGTGCCATTCGGATCCCCCTTCCCCACATACCCGTCGGGTATAATGGTTCAGGGTTCACCTACTCTTTGGCTGTCGATGCATCGGCGCTTCCTCAAGCTATACAACGCGAATTATTGCTAGCTAACATCTACTTTTCTACGTTGGCTAAGCATGCCACTCACCCGTCGGGAGAAATGGATCGCCTCGCTACCAAAGATTTACAATGCTAACTAACGAATTCACGTGCACAATGCAGAATCTCGTGCAGATTGGGAATATCAAAAGTCTTGAACCTAAGCGAATTAGTCCAATGCCTCGCTCAGTGTCCACTCAGTTGGTCTTTTCCTGATCGTCTGTTCATAAAGACGGTAAACATCTTGTAGCCCAGTGATCATTTTGACGGATCGAAGTAATTGGTTTACTGCTCACGGCGGACTTTCTTCCATTGAGGTGCTGTTGGAGTTCTCTCCCATCCTGCCGCACGTTTCGGAGCAGCTTTCGGCGATGAAGGCTTTGCAGGCGGTGCCTTTGATGGTTCATGGGATTTCGGCATAGCCTTGCCCTTTGGTGCACTAGCCGATGAGGATGATGCTGAACCAGTGCCTTCAGGTGTCTGTGAAGGTTGCGCAGTTGGTTTAGCAAACTTAGAAGCTGCAGTATGTCCAACCGCTTTGAATACTTCACTCACCACTTCGTCGCCAAGGGTTGGAGCCATCTTCGTTTTCATCTCGGTCTTTCCCCTCTGCGCCTCGGCCTCGGCCAGCTGAATAGCATAAGCCATCTTGCTGACAAAGTTTTGAGGTAAAGGAATGCCACATTGTTGGGCTGCAAAGAGCAGTTCTACTCTCTGTTCTTTCTCCCTCAGGCTCAGATATACCGAGAAAGCTGGGAGTTCGATGCAGTTGGGGAAGCCGTGGCTCCCGGAGCGAAAGAAGGTGTATGACTCGTGCTCCGGAAAGGTTCCTTTGAGCAGTCGTCGAAG